TGTTAATGGAAAACCCTAAGTGCCCGAGCTTCATTCAGGTTTGAGGAGATCACAGTAAACTGTAGATACAGTTACACCCAGAATGCACCGTGGGAACTACTGCTCTAGTGTATGCAGCAGGAAACAAGGGACGCTACAGCTTGAAAAACGTTCCTCTTGTTTTCTCTTCACTTTTCTTCACGGTAAACCAAGAGTGAAGTTACTCTGGTCCAATCACATGTTCTCCTCTCATCCTCAATGGTCCATTCTAATGGTGTGTTTACACTTGCTAGTGATTGTCTCAGCTCACAATGAAGGTCCTTTAATGGAAAACCACTTTCAATGTGTGCCCCAAACACCTGCTTAAAACTAACACTTGGTGTGGCCATAGCATTTCTGTTTCGCTTAGTTTTGTGGTGTTTCCCCCCCCCCCCAAGAAAGAAACAGGCCTCTCTGGACAAATATGGTATTGATAAAGAAATGAATGCATTCGTGTATTTGAGGTCTCGCTTTGTTATGATGGGCACCAGCTCCCGGGGTTACTCAATGCTGCAAGGCTTCCCAGGGCTGACTCATGCTCTCGTGTTCAGAGAACGCAATTCTTTGAGGGAAATTAGCTTTGATTTGAAATGTCAAGAAAAACAGATGATAGGAGATAAAAGGCAGGATGACAATGGTCTTGATTAGGAAAATTCCCAAGAAGGAATACCAGAGAGGGCGGGAGAGAAACTGATTGTGGAGGATTCAGGGCAGAAGTCAAAGAGTTTTAGCACATTCTCCATGTGCCGGCAGAGGTAAGTACTTAAAGTTATAGGCAAAGCCATTTGATAGGAGTTTTGAGAAATAAGGAAAAAATCCCTGTTGAAAAATCCTTTGAAATGGAGACTGTGAAGAGACAAGTTCAAGATCAAGCTCTCTGAAGTCTGGATTTAGAGTGGACACATCTATAAACTAAGTGACCTGTTCATAGAGCAATCAGGAAGGGGTTGATCATCAAAACAAGCAGGCAGGGCTGGGAAAAAACCCAGACGTAAGAGCTTCCACTCACGGTGTGCTCATCTGGCATTCCTGTAGACACGCAACTCCAACCCCTTCCCGGGTCCCGGTCCACACACTCGACAGTGTGGCCCATCAGTGAAGTACACGCTCAGCCCCATTGAGGCAATTGTTCTGCCACCTGTTAGAAGTCACACTTAGGAGATGCCAAGGCTATGATTATGCAGTTAGTTGAGACACACAACAGTAAGGAATGAGGAAGAAACGTGTTATTCACCGTGGAGGCAATCAACTAGAACTTCACCATGAACTTGCTGGGCTACTTCAGCTTCATCCCCATTCTGGCAGTAGCTAGTTTAGGCTTGTTCTGACAGAGACCGTTTTCCTGTCCAGATTGGCGGTGCTTTCCATCTTAATTTAGCTTAGTTATCCCAGTTTTAGCACTCTCTGCTTCAGGGGAAAATGCATTCACCTCAGAAATAAAAAGCTTAATATGATAATTAGAAGCTCACAGTCAAGTCTATTGTTACTGGTCATTTATGATTCAGGGTGACCATAGGTATGTTACAGGCTCGAACTGCCCATAGGGTTTTCTTGACTGTAATCCTAACAGAGCGAAATTAACTGAACACTTGACTAATAGCCAAAAGGTCAGTGGTTCAAATCCGCTCAAGGGTATCTGGGAAGTAAGGCTTGGCAGTCTGCTTCGGAAAGGTTACTGTCTTGAAAATTCTGCACACAAGGGTTCACTATGAGCTGGAACACAATGGTAACAATCAACAGCAACCGTATGGGAACAGATTGCCAGGACTTTTCTTCCAAGGTACAGTTAGTGAGAGTGAATAGTCAACCTTTTGGTTACCAGCCACCCAGGGGCCTCAGAGTCAGGTCTAGGAAGATGTAGATATTTGATATGGAACTCTGGGGATGGGTATGATGACAACAAACAAACAAACAAACAAACAATATGCACCAATCAACAACCGCCCAGGTTTGGATACCTGCAGGGGGATGAGAGCAGCATGAATGTGTCTCCTCTCCCTCCAAGACCTGCTCCCCACAGAGAAGGCCAAGAGTGTCACAGCCACTGAGGTGTTAAAAGCTTACAACTGGGTGCTTTTCTATAGCTGCTTGAATCCACCAACAGTTTTGCAAGAGAAAGATGGTCAAATGCCTCCCAAACAATTTACAGCCCCATAAAACCCGTTGAAGGGTCAGAGATGAGTCAAGTCTGACTCAAAGACAAAGAGTTTAATCATCAATTGTCATCAACAACAAGCAAAAAAGCTTGTGAGTGGTCATCTACGGTACCCCTGTTGGTCTCACCTCATATGAAGCAAAGAAGAATGGGGTGGGTGGGAGACACAAGAGAACAATTACAAGAGAACAATTAGTACAGAGGCCTAGGGGACCGTGTGAACCTCCACTTCCAGGCTCAAGAGGTCAGAAGAACTAGATGGTACCCGGCTACCACTGACATCTCTGAAAGCAATCACAAAAGGAGGTGCTGGATAGAGTTGGGGGGAAATGTAGATCAAAACTCCAGCCCGCACTTATGTGAGGACATACACACATCTGAAAAGGGTTACAGACAAATTTAGAAAACAGAGACTGTTGGAACTGCCAAGATTATGTTTCTGGGTCATTGTTCAAACCTAGATCTAAACTAACTTATCACCATGGCTCAACTTTCAGTCTAATGACCATTTTTATTAGGTGGGATCAAGTCAGCTGCAAATCATACTGCATAGTGACCCCATTATAACAGAATACAAACCTGCCTCATCCTTCCCCACACTCAATCTCTGCTGCATCAAGCCTACTTGTGTCTCCATGCCAATCCATCTCTCCACAGAGCCTCTCTTTGCTGACTCTCTACCTTCCCAAGCATGTTGCCCTTTGCCAAGAACTGGTCTCCCTGAAAACAAGCTCAAAATATGTGAGAGGCAGTCTCACCTTCCTCAGATGAGACTGCACTACAGGCCTAGAAGGTGAACATGAACACCAAAGAGGAACAGACTCCTTAGAACATACAACCTGACATTAAAGGGGAGCATCTGTGTGGAGCTAGAGCTGGAAAGGGTAGGAAAGGACAAATGGAAATAGGAAACACAGGGAGGAAGTAGGAAAAGTGCTGTTACTTATACTGTGAGGATTATAATCAACTCCACAAAACAGAATGGGTATAAATTGTATGGAAACCCAATCTGCTCTGTCAAGTTTCATTTGAATTATAATAAAAATGTAGGTGGGAGAGGAAAGTGACAAAGTCAGGCCTGAGCAAGAAGCTTCATGACAGTCTGGATTTCCTGGTTTGCCAGCACTCCTACAGGCGAGAGCTGTTTCAAACTCAGCTGGGCCAAGAGGCAGGACCCTAGGCAGAGAGGCGAAGAGCCAAGGAGTGGTGTGAACAGACTGAGGCATCAGAGATTTCTGGTGCCGGCTTTGGGGAAATCAGATAAAAAAACACACAAGCTGCCTGACTGAACCTGCAGAGAAGCGAGTCCAGAAAATGGAAAACAGAACACTACCAGGAACCAGAGATGATTTCTATGACTGGGAAATGAGGCACACAGCAGGAATTTGAGGGGCCTGGGAGGAACACTTTCAACCTGAAATCTGAAGCGAATCATGGGCCCAAATAGAAAAGGTGTGGTTCCTCAAGGAGCAGAAGAAAGAGAAGAGACGGTCTTATTTATTCCTAGGTGGAACACATGATAAATGGTGCTCAGCTGCCAATGGAAAGACTGGTGAAGTCATGTTTACCAACAGGTACCTTGGAACAAAGGCCTGGTGATCCCCTTCTGAAAAACCAACCACTGGAAACCCTACGTCTAACACACGGGGCTGCTAGGATGAGGCCTAAATAGGCATCGACTCTCCACCAACTGACTCTTTTGGGGGGGCGGGGTGCAGGGAAAACCACTAGGAAGTGAAGCAGGAAAAGTCTGTGAAAAGCAAAATCATTAAAGTGCCTATTATCCTAAGGAACCGACTACTGTCGGCCTTTTCCACACACAGTGGCAGAGCATGTTCTTACAACAGAGACTTGCACAGCCCAGAAGGTTGACTGACTACTGGGGCTTTTCCATAAAGCCTGTGACCTGCCCCTGGCCCAGACCCTGGCGCTGAAGCTGCCCTGTCCTGATGCCGCCTGCAGGCAGTACAGGTGGCTGAAGAGACCACGAGGAAATTCCTGACAGCAAGCCAGGACTGTCCTCTACGCCCAAGTGACCGAGAAAGAGGAAAGGCAACACCAGGCTGCCCCCAGGACCAAGGACACTCCACGGGTGAGTCAAAGGTGCTGCCTTGAGCCTGTCACGGCAGCCGGCGCGAGTTTGGGGGTCAACGTGGCAGAAGTCAGTTTAGTTTTGGAGCATGATTTTGGAATTGTTTCAGTAGATTGTTTTTGTTACCCCATTTATGAACATGTGTGCTCGTATACATGTTTGTGTGTACACACACACACACACACACACACACATATGCAATTTAATCCATGCTGTTAAATATATGTGTGATCAATTATAGACTGCATACTAACAATTGAGCAGAACGATTAATTTATACTAATTTTTTATTATTATTAATTTTTGTGCGTGTAGCATCAAATTGGATCTGACTGGTACAGGAGGAGATTGCCCCTCCTTCTTCAGCAGAGCATCTGGTGGATTTGAACCATGCACCACTGGGATTGCAGTGCAGCTTCTTGCCACTAGGCCACCAGAGCTCCCTTAATTTATACTAATTTAAACACTGATACTCTTTCAGTGCTCTGAAGAGCAACATGCAATTCTCCCCCACATATCACTCAGATTTTTAAAAATATGCCTTCAGCAAGAGTTCCTATTTTCTCTGCAGAATGGATTGAGCATGGTCTTCCAGCCCTATCACGCTGAGGACCATGGCCCCTGCTCCGTCCACCCTGTGTCCCGGGAGGAGATGCAGTCTGGACACTCCTCACGTGAGGATGTCAGCGGAGCATCACCTCACAGCTGCGTGGCCGTCACATAGCACATTCTTACCTTTCCTGAAGGGCTCCCTGCTCTCCTCCGCTTCCCGGTTGACGCGATTCTGTTCCGGTTCCACCCCGGGCCCTTGGTCCTCCAGCTCGTCTTCGGTTTCATCATCGCTGTAAGGAACCACCTCATCATTGGGCTGCGAGTCCTCGTCGAAGGTCGTCTCTGAGTCCCTTTCCGTGCTCATACTGCTGGCAGTCTGGAACTACTGGTCAAAGACAAGGGGACCAGGGTGAGTCACTGCCCTCACTTAGCTTTAGGTTAAATCCTGCATTGATTCCAGCAGATCACCACCTTCCTACACTCCTCGTTGCCAGCAGGTTTGTTCTGAGTCATAGGTGACCCTCCAGTGGTCCGGAGAAGCACGGCCTTTCGGTTAGCCATGCAACGACAGACTACGCCACCAGATCTCCCTCTTCCTAGTACAACAGTACTTCTGAATAAAGGTCCATAAATCCAAATTAAGATGCAAACAGAAACAAAACTATTCATTATTGACTACATGCTTAAATAAAGCCTGGGCTTCACAGAGGTTCTCTCTCTTTCTCATTGAGGTTGAAAAGGAACAACTCATTGTTGACCCTCCAGTTGGTTTCTGAGGCTATAAAATCAACTAGAGACTTTCTTTTTTGGAAGGATTAGTAGATTCAGACCAAGAGGGAGCCGTGGCATCAGGGTTTGCATAGGCCAGTTCCCTACAGGCTACGCCACAGCCCTAAACCAGGGTTTTTTTCTCTCACTTAAAACAAACAAACAAACAAAAAAACCCCCCAATACACCAGTCAGATCCGATTTGATGGTACACACAAACACACAAAGAAAATTAAAAAAAAAATACACAAACATTAAGGCAATGTGCCAAATTTTGCTGTCTACCCGGTGAGATAAATTGAGTGGGTCACAACTAATATTTAAAAAATGAAGGCATAGCTAAGCCTTGAAGCCTGCTGCTGAGTGAAATAACCTGGGTGATCTTCCTCATGTGAAATATTTAGAACAGCGAATGCATAGAGGTCAATCCTTATTAATGGTTGTCAAGGCCTGAGGAAGGGGAGGAGAATGGGAGTCTTTGCTGAGGGAGCATTGAGTTTCTGCCTGGAGGGATGAAGAGCTGTGGCAAATGGATAATGGCAATGGTAGCATAGAATTCAAGAGCGGTGCAAATGCTTGTTAACGTACATGGCCACTAACAGAAAGGTTGGCGGTTCACACCCACCCAGAAGCTCCAATGGGTTCCTAATGACTTACTTTCCAAACCGATCTAACACCCTATCCACTATGCAGAGTAGTTCTATCCCAACACACACAGGGCTAGCGTGACTTGGCGTCAACTCTCTCAATGTCGTTGTTGTTTTTCAAGGTAGCATAATATGGCAAAAGTTATTAATGTTGCGGAGTTATAAACGGTTAAGATGACACACTTCTTGTTACATATTTTTACCATGATGATGTTTAGATTTAAAAAATTTTTAAATGGTTAGAAAAACAAAAAAATAAAGAAAATTCTAAAATAAAATATTGTCATATGATATACAAAGCAAGAACCGCTGGCTGAAACTAAACCACCACCAGCATTTAGTTGTATTCTGGGTCTTAACACAATTGGATTTCTTGCTATAGACGGCTGGCTCAGCTTCACAGCCAGTTCCCTGAGGATACAGTTTCTGCTGATGCTAACATGAGGAGTTCTGACTCCGTAAAACATAAGCTCACATAGTCCCTTAGAACAGATGCCTCCTTGGGGACACGCCCTCCCCTTTCTACTCCCACTGCTCACTGTCAGTTTTTAGAATCAATCTCAATCTCTCTCTCTCTCTCTCTCTCTCTCTCTCTCTCTCCCCCGCCCTCCCTCTCTCCCTCTCTCCCTCTCTCCCTCTCTCTGTGTGTTTGTCTATCACTGTAGAATGACTATACAAGTGATAAGTGCAGTCTTGGTCCTATTTATAGAAGGGAAATATTGACACAAATTTGTCCAGCCACTTGAGGACAGATATATAGACTGGCATTACTTGCATAAGCACTCTACAGCTCAGTATTGCTAATAATAGCTTTTCCCTGTCCACCACTGGATCCTGGGACACTGGCATCTAGGAACTTTCCATTTAAACCCCCTGCCCCCCCCACCCCCGAGTGCTCTTACGAAAGGCTTGCTGGGATTGTCATTCTAGCAGGGTGCAACACAACACTCCAAACATTTAAAGAACTTACTTGCACTCCAATTATTAACACTTTGCAGCAAAAATAATGGTTTTACAAAGAGAGCGCCTCTAGATCATATGTGGGTCTGACAAGTTTGTTACATGGTTTAATTGGGTGGAATTCCCTAGAGAGGGATTATTCAACAGATTGCCAGTTTTACAAATCTGGCATCCTGGGCACTGAAATGAAATGTCAGAGCCACAAATGGACACCTGGGAAAGTTTTGAAAATTTAGGTGAGGCTGTTTATCCAGAATGATTTAAAGTAATAAAATCCAGAGCAGCCTGGGTGGCCAACAGTTGGCAACAGCTGAATGCAATCCTGGCACACTCAATACTGTCTGCAGAGGGTACACAGGGTTTGGATCACGATTAACACACCACCTTTGAACCGATTCTGACTCTTGACAACCCTCCTCTGGGGTTTAGGGGTCGTCAGCCTTTAGGGGGCAGACTGTCCATCCTTCTCGGAGCAGAGATAGTGGATTTCAACTGCTAAACCTGTCTGCTGGCAAACGAACACGTAAGGTACCACAGAGCTCATTCAGATTATCATTTTAAAACATGGGTCAAAAAGAATCTGCATGTAAAGTGCTTAACGCAGAGGGAGAGTCAGAGTGTCTCTCTGTCTCTCTCTCTTCCTCCTTTTCTCCCTTCCTCCCTCTCATCTCCACCTTAGGTTTCCACCTTGGATTTCCATCTTTCTCCTAAGGGGTGGCTGGTGGATTTGAACCACACGAAGAGTATCGCTTTGGACTTGTAGTGCAGCTCCCTATGGAGTCTGCCACCAGGGCTCCCTGATTCAGTACATAAACCCCTCCCAAACCAAACCAAACCAAACCAAACCCCCCTGACTTGAGTCAGTTACAGCTCATGGCAACTCCTGTTAGGTTTTAAACACTGTAAAATCTTTCTCTCTTGAACAGCCGGTGGATTCAAAGCTTCTGGTTAGCAGCACAACACAATATAAGTGCATAAGGTACACAGTAAACACTCAACAAAACGCAGCCACTTTATTGCCAGCTATTATTTCTGTGTTATGTCTTGTTGAGTTGGAACAGACTCACCGCTGACTCTATGGTGGGTTTGCAGCGGCTATAAAGTGCACGGGGAAGATTGCCTATCTTTCTCCTGTCAAGCACTTGGTAGATTACAACAGTCTTGACCTTGGATTGGCAGACTCTCACCACTAGGCCACTAAAAACAAAACAAAAAGTCAACCCACCATAAATATCTCATTATTATAATAACAAGTAGAGAGGTTGGAGATCCACCCCTGAAGGTATGTTCATCTCTAAAGATCACTCTAACAGAAATGTCTCTCACTGGAAAGTATTAGCATTAATCTAATGTTACCTTTAAAATAGCAGGAGAAGTATATTTTAAGCACAAGAATACAAATAATTTTATTTTAAAAGCTTTTGCTCACCATACCTCAATAAAATATTTATAAAAATAAGCCATAAAACTGTGTGCCATTGATTTGAGGAAATCCTCAGTGGCCCTACAGGACAGGGTGGAACTGCCCATAAGTTTCCAAGGCTGTAAAGCTTTATGGTAGCAGATGCCACATCATCTCCTGCAGAGAAGCTTGTTGGTTCAACCCACCAGCTTTTAGGTCGGCAACTAAGTGTTTAACTATTGTGCCACTAGGACTTCTTTATAAAAAGAAAAAGTGAAAATAAATAACTCAGAACACATCACCCTCCAGCAGGTTTCCAAGACTACAAATCTTTCTGGAAGAGATTGTCCATCTTTTTCCCAAGAAGTAGCTGGTAGGTTCAAACCAACAACCGTTTGCTTGGCAGCTTGATATGCTACATACAATACCACCAGAGACCTGGTGTAAAAATAAGCAAATAACTATCTTTTATTTTTAAGTGTAATTCATCCCACACTCTGTCTTCATAAATGAATATTTCTTGGATTCTATAATTTAGTTGAGATTTTTCAATATATTGGTACCTGTGGAGTTTATCTTTCAATATGACTTTCCTAGCCATCTGAATCTGACCCGACTAAGTGGATGGGCAGGGCTATGCAAATAGGGTGTTAGCCTATTCACAAAGGGACTGGCTAGCTCACAATTCCACAAGGTGATTGGCTAACCTTGTCAGTAAACTGAACAGCTCTAGCTGCAGAATTAGATCTTCTTCCAACAGTAAAGAAGAAATATGGTGCCACTGTTGTAGAATGAGGCTGGCATTGGGGTGGGGGTAAGACTGAGAAAA